GGCGGTGAGCCGGCCGGGCAGTGCCCAGGCCCCGCGCCCGCCATGCCAGGCAAAGCCCAGCACTTCCAAGGTCCCCAGGTCAGCTGCTGCGCCAAGTACCTGCTCTTCGCCTCCAATGTGCTCTTCTGGGTGGGTGAGCGAACGTGCCCGACGCGGCCCGCCTGCGGGGCGAGCGGAGCGGGAGGGCGAGAGGGCGGGCGAGCTGGCCGCCTTGCTCCGCTCTTGTTATACTTAGGGGCGGAGGAAGGGCAGAAACGGGGGGGGGCGCCTGGTCCCTCTCGTGGTCGGCAGCATAGTCGGGCCCGCCTGGCTCAGACGGAGGGTGTGTGTGTGTTGCTGGCCCAACGGGAAACGGAGGAGGGGGGGCCCGTTTCCCTTTGCGCACGGAGAGATTCGCCTGGGAAGAAGGGAGAGGCGACTCGACTGGAAAACGGGCTTTCGAGTTGTTCCAGTGGAGACCCTGCAGGGACTGGGCGCCATGAGGGGGGGATTGGGGACACTGGGGGTCATCAAGGGTCATCGCATTCCATTTCACCGCCCCCGAGAAGCGAAGGCAGGTGGCTTAAAGATCATGCATATAAATCAGAGGAGAGAGAAAGGGCAAACCTACCGAAAAAGACAAAGGGGCTCCTCTGAACCCACATTTTTCTTCTGCTTCAGCTCCAGCCCATTGCACAGGAAAAGGGGGAAATGAGGTATGTGAGAAAAATAGCAGCAGGGAAGAAGTGGGAATAAAAGGGGGGAAAGTAGCAGGGCGTTGTAGGGTTCTTGGGGGTATCTGACCCTCAGCACACCTGAGTTGTCTGTTGGTACAGTAGTTCAGAAAGATCCTAAAGATAGGGCAGATGCTGGTAAGAACCCTGAAGTGGAAAGGGAAGAGCAGGACTTTGAGATGGGCTTCGCTGGTCCTGCTCTCCTTAGTAGTGCTCCCATACGCCCAGGGTGCCATCTTAAAAAGCAGGAAAGAATCCATAAAAAAAAATGAACTGGGAAATATGAAGGAAAAAATAGCAAAAAAATTGCAAGGGGTTTGGAACTCCAGCTCCTCCTCCAGGCACACACCATGCAGTAATGGCTTATATGCTCCCAAGCCTTCAGTTTAAAAAAGAATTGTGTGTGTATATATACAGATCCGCATCATACACTGTATACGTGAGTACTGTATATGAACATCTGTACAGAAATAGCAGTTGGCTCTCAGGGAGTCTACAAATGCAACCACACCCCAGTTTTGATGTACACGTGCAGTGTAAACTAGCAAGGGAGGCTGCCTCTCCTTTAACCTCTCGGGAGGGCACAGGAGTAATAAACAAATCCCCAAGTGTACCTGTTGGCTGTACTCAAGGGCTGCCCTTTTCATAAACAGATACCTGTTTATTGCCTCTGAGGGAATTTGGAAATGTAAGTCAGCAGTCCATCCGGAGGGGCTGCCAGTGCCATAGAAATTAATTACAATTTAGAAGGTGCCCTTTAACCAAGAAAAGGAAAGCAAGACTCAGAGGAGGCAAGTCAAGCCTCAGTTGTCTCAGCATTGGGGGCGGGGGGGGGGAGAGAAACTTGGGAATCAATGTTGTAGCCTCAGATTAGGTGATTTGCCCCTAGCTGAGTAAAGGGAGGGAGGCCGGGTTCTGCTGAAAAATCACTGCCACCCCATCCCCTTGCCTGTTGTTAAGCATTTGTGCATGCTTCCAGCCTGCCCAGTTCAGTATATGGACACAAGAGGCTGCCTTATTCCTTATTAAACCATTAGTATATATAGTTCAGTACTGGTGGATAAGCAACACCTGCCCACGATAGAGCAGTAGACCCACCCCCTTACCCCTGTTTGAGACTAGAATCTGTCACAATGTTCTCCACCTTTGGTATATTTGTCTACCTTGTGTTGCTTGGCTGTTATTTCAAACACACTGCCATTCCCCCTGCCTTCGGCATGTATGCACCGACATGTACACAAACACATACAGTTGTTCTCTGCTAAAAATTCTAGATTCTATGCATGCATAATCATTCAGCACAATAGGTGGGCAAAGTCAGCTGTTTTGTAAGCACATACACAGAGATGCTTTGACAACGTCTTCTTAATTAAACACAGATTGAGTGCTGTGGACAAGATCCTACCAAGCCACCTTTTTGTTTGGTGAATAGCTTTTCTGCTTGGGTCCGTTATTTCAGTCTGTTTCTGATATTTTATATAACAACCAGATCAGAAACCCACATTTGTCCTCAGGTGTGTTTGTAAAGAGAGGGCTGTCGAATGTGCAAGAGGTGCTCTGCAATGCCTGGTGCTGTGGGACAGAGGCAGACTTTGTAGATGAAACAAAAGTGAAATTTCCAAGTAGCAACTTGGCAGTGTACATACTTATGAGCCACTCAAGGACTCTTAGAAAACAGATGAGTTTCTTCTGAATGTTCTTTGAGAAAACTCACGAAACATGCATTTTGGCTGGGGAAACATCACCCATTGTACCTTCCAGCCTTTACCTTTTCTTCTTGTTCCCCTCTCCCCCTGCCCACGGTGCTGGAAAATAAATTGGGTCTGCATTGGAATGGCTGCCTTGGTAGTGGTCAGACTTCAAGCGTGTGTAATTAGGTTATGACTTTTGTTTTTCACTAGAACTTCATGAATCACTAAATAGAGCTAGGTACAAGAACGTTTGACCAAACTCTGCGAGGCAGTGGAAGACAGGAGGGCCTGGCGTGCTCTGGTCCATGGTGTCACGAAGAGTTGGACACGACTTAACGACTAAACAACAACAAGAACATAGTTGTAAAGTTAAAGTTAAAGAGCAGAACAAAACGTTCAGTATGTCCTCTCTCTCTCTCTCTCTCTCTCTCTTGATTCTTAACCAAGCTGCCTTTGTTTTAAGAACATAATATACCAGAGGGGATTGTGTTGTGAATGCCATTATTAAACAGCTGGCAGCAGGAAATTCTTGCTAGTCTCCTTCAAATCACTCAGAAAACTACTTGCAGATTTGTGTTTTTGACCTCGCTTGTTTGGTTATTTCATATACTTGTGGTTTAACAGCTAGAGGAATAAGGCTCCCTATGTTTATTTGTGGTTTTGTCAGCAGCTTTGTGGTTAAGATAGGATTGACTTACAGTCCTGCTTCAGTCCTAGCTGCTGCCCTGTGGTGTAGCTTTGTGCTGAACAAGTGCCCTTCTGGCTGACTTATTTGTTGGTGTAGTGTAAATGGGCAAGATGTGTTGGGTTTTGACCATGATAGAACGTTCTGTCCTCCACAGCCTGTACATTTTTTCTACATGGCCAGTGAGGCTGTGCAGGGAAGCAAAACCCACAACCCACAAAATAAAGATCATAATTTTTTTGCAAAGGAAGAATAAGAAAAGGAGAGGAGAGAATTAGTAAGCTTAATGTCTGAAGAAGGGCTTAGCTGCGTCTGAAATGAAGTAACTGCTGCAGTGGGTGAAAAATTTCTGAGGGATCAGTTTGGGTGCACAGGATTAAGTGTGGCAGGAGGAATGGACAGGATTCCTGTCCAAAATACTAAGCTAGGAATGTTTTGTAATGAGCCTCTGCACAGGTGCAGAGAGACCCATTTCTGGGAATTTACAGATGACCTCTTGAAAAGACACTGTTACAACTGGAACCCATTGATTTTGACTGTGCTAGACTGTAAAGGTGTTCACACATTATACTCACCGCATGTGTAATCTATACCTATCTGTACACAGATTTTGGTGAATGGTTAAGGGGAGTTTAGGCTAGAGTTCTGCAGAATCTATATTTCACATGTTGCAAGTAAACACACCACCCTTCACATCTGGAGAGCAGTAGAACTAGGGACATATTTCTAAATCGATTAGCATGCCTGGGAAGAGACAGATTTTTGTAGCCATCTGAATGAGCATGTTTAGTATGGACACATGTACTAAGCACCCCTGATGATTACATTACATTACTTTTAACAGGTACTGATAGCAATGTACGCTGAAGCAAAACTCTGTTGTTGTAACAGAGAAGCTGTTCTCCATGCCTGAGGAGGCACCTTTATAGCATGACCAAGTTACTTCTGAGGAAATTCAAAGGAACAATTGCCTCTAACTGTAGTCTGTAAGGTGACTTTGGAGGGCTTAGGATCTGATGGAATTCTTATGCAAAACCTTTTAGGAAACATTATACTACCAGTTTCAGTATGTGGACACTATATGTATATGTGAAAAAGAAAATACAGTACACTCTTTGAATTCAATGGTTTTATGTATCGGGACATAATAAAAATCATCTGGTCCTTAGCAGGTCTGAAAATTATACAACAACATATGATATATTACACCGTAAACGTTGACTTCTGGCAACAAAAGTGTGTACACCTTTAAGTGACAATGTCCAAATGGGGCACAATGTATCAATATTTTGTGTGGCCACCATTATTTTCCAGCACTGCCTTAACCCTCTTGGGCACAGAGTTCACCAGAGCTTCACAGGTTGCCACTGGAGTCCTCTTCCATTCCTCCATGATGACATTACAGAGCTGGTGGATGTTAGAGACTTTGTGCACCTCCACCTTCCGTTTCAGGATGCCCCATGGATGCTCAGTAGGGTTTAGGTCTGGAGACACGCTTGGCCAGTCCATCACTTTTACCCTCAGCTTCTTTAGCAAAGCAGTGTTCATTTTGGAGGTGTGTTTGGGGTCATTGTCATGTTGGAATACTGCCCTGCGGCCCAGTCTCTGAAGGGAGGGGATCGTGCTGTGCTTCAGTATGTCACAGTACATGTTGGCATTCATGGGTCCCTCAATGAACTATACAGTAGCTCCCCAGTGCCGGCAGCACTCATGCAGGGCCAGGACATGACACCAGGCTTGACTGTAGGCATGACACACTTATCTTTGCACTCCTCACCTGGTTGCCACCACACACGCTTGACACCATCTGAACCAAATAAGTTTATCTTGGTCTCACCAGACCACAGGACATGGTTCCAGAAATCCATGTCCTTAGTCTGCTTCTCTGCAGCAAACCGTATACAGGCTTTCTTGTGCATCATCTTTAGAAGAGGCTTCCTTCTGGGACGACAGCCCTGGAGACCAATTTGATGCAGTGTGCGGCGTACGGTCTGAGCACTGACAGGCTGACCCCCACCCCCACCCCTTCAATCTCTGCAGCAATGCTGGCAGCACTCATACGTCTATTTCCCAAAGCCAACCTCTGGATATGACACTGAGCACGGGCACTCGATTTGTTTGGTTAACCATGGTGAGGCCTGTTCTGAGTGGAACCTGTCCTGTTAAACCGCTGTATGGTCTTAGCCACCGTGCTGCAAATCAGTTTCAGGGATTTGGCAATCTTATAGCCTAGGCTATCTTTATGAGCAACAATTCGTTTTTTCAGATCCTCTGATAGTTCATTATCATGATACGCCATGTGGAACTACCAGTGACCAGTCTGAGAGAGTGGGAGCGATAACACCTGCTCCCCCTTCACACCTGAGACTTGTGACACTAACGGGTCTCATGACTCCAGGGAGGGAAACCGGCTACTTGGACCCAATTTGGACATTGTCACTTAGGGGTGTACTCACTTTTGTTGCCAGCGTTTTAGACATTAATGGCTGTGTGTTGTGTTATTTTGAAGGGACAGCATATTTACACTGTTATACAAGCTGTATACTCACTGCTTTACATTGTAGCCAAGTGTCATTTCTTCTGTGTTGTCACATGAAAAGATATACTAAAATATTTATAAAATGTGAGGGGGTGTACTCACTTCTGTGATACACTGTATCTCAAAAATGATAGAATGATGTCAATACGAATCCAAGGCAGACCTTTCAACATCACAGTAATCCAACTGTGCACCAACCACCACTGCTGAGGAGACTGAAAGTGAACAATTTTATGAAGATTTACAACACCTTCTAGACCTGACACCAAAGAAAGATGTTCTTCTCATTCTAGGGGACTGGAATGCTAAAGTAGGGAGCCAAGAGATAAAAGGAACAACAGGGAAGTTTGGCCTTGGAGTTCAGAATGAAGCAGGACAAAGGCTAATAGAGTTTTGTCAAGAGAATAAGCTGGTCATCACAAACACTCTTTTCCAACAACACAAGAGGCGACTCTATACATGGAAATCACCAGATGGGCAATATCGAAATCAGATTGATTATATTCTCTGCAGCCAAAGATGGAGAAGCTCTATACAGTCAGCAAAAACAAGACCTGGAGCTGATTGTTGATATAATCATCTGCTTCTTATAGCAAAATTCAAGCTTAAACTGAAGAGAGAAGGAAAAACCACTGGGCTAGTCAGGTATAATCTAAACCAAATGCCTTGTGAATACACAGTGGAAGTGAAGAACAGATTTAAGGAACTAGATTTGGTGGACAGAGTGCCTGAAGAACTATGGATGGAAGCTCGTAACATTGTGCAGGAGGCAGCAACAAAAATCATCCCAAAGAAAAGAAAATGCAAGAAAGCAAAGTGGCTGTCCAACGAGGCCTTAGAAATAGCAGAGAGGAGAAGGGAAACAAAATGCAAGGGAAATAGGGAAAGTTACAGAAAATTGAATGCAGACTTCCAAAGAATAGCAAGGAGAGAAAAGAGGGCCTTCTTAAATGAACAGTGCAAAGATATAGAGGAAAATAATAGAAAGGGAAAAATCAGAGATCTGTTCAAGAAAATTGGATATTTTAAAGGAACGTTCTCTGCAAAGATGGCCACGATAAAGGACAAAAATGGTGGGGACCTTACAAAAGCAGAAGGCATCAAGAAGGGTTGGCAAGAATACACAGAAGAATTATACCAGAAATATCTGGATATCCCGGACAACCCAGATAATGTGGTTGCTGACCTTGGGCCAGACATCCTGGAGAGTGAATTCAAGTGGGCCTTAGAAAGCTTGGCTAACAACAAGGCCAGTGGAGGGGATGGCATTCCAGTTGAACTATTTAAAGTCTTAAAAGATGACACTCTTAAGGTGTGCTACATCCAATATGCCAACACGTTTGGAAAGCTCAACAGTGGCCGGGAGGATTGGAAAAGATCAGTCTACATCCCAACCCCAAAGGGCAGTGCCAAAGAATGCTCCAACTACCGTACAATTGCACTCATTTCACACACTAGCAAGGTCATGCTCAAAACCCTCCAAGGTAGGCTTCAGCAGTATGTGGACCGAGAAGTCCCAGACGTGCAAGCTGGATTCCAAAGGGGCAGAGGAACTAGAGACCAAATTGCTAACATGCGCTGGATTATAGAGAAAGCCAGAGAGTTCCACAAAAACATCGACTTCTGTTTCATTGACTGTGCATAAGCTTTTGACTGTGTGGAGCACTACAAACTATGGCAAGTTCTTAAAGAAATGGGAGTGCCTGACCACCTTCTCTATCTCCTGAGAAACCTTATATGCGGGACAGGAAGCAACAGTTAGCACTGGTCATGGAATAACTAATTGGTTCAAAATTGGGAAAGGGGTATGACAAGGCTGTATATTGTCCTCCGGCTTAATTAACTTATATGCAGAACACATCATGCGAAAGGCGGGACTGGAGGAATCCCAAGCTGGAATTAAGATTGCTGGAAGAAATATCAACAACCTCTGATATGCACATGATACCACTCTGGTGGCAGAAAGTGAGGAAGAATTAAGGAACCTTGTAATGAGGGTGAAAGAGGAGAGTACAGAAAACGGTCTGAAACTGAACATCAAAAACACAAAGATCATGGCCACTGGTCCCATCACCTCCTGGCAAATAGAAGGGGAAGATATGGAGGCACTGACAGATTTTACTTTCTTGGGCTCCCCTGATCACTGCAGATGGAGACAGCAGCCACGAAATTAAAAGATGCCTGCTTCTTGGGAGGAAAGTGATGACAAACCTTGACAACATCTTAAAAAGTAGAGACATCTCCGTGCCGACAAAAGTCCACATAGTCAAAGCTATGGTTTTTCCTGTAGTGATGTATGGAAGTGAGAGCTGGACCATAAAGAAAGCAGACCGCCGAAGAATTGATGCTTTTGAATTGTGGTGTTGGAGGAGACTCTTGAGAGTTCCCTGGACTGCAAAGAGAACAAACGTATCCATTCTAAAGGAAGTCAACCCTGAGTGCTCACTGGAAGGACAGATGCTGAAGCTGAGGCTCCAATACTTTGGCCATCTCATGAGAAGAAAAGACTCCCTGGAAAAGACCTTGATTTGGGGAAAGTGTGAAGGCAAGAGGAGAAGGGGACGACAGAGAATGAGATGGTTGGACAGTGTCATCGAACCGACCAACATGAATTTGGCACAACTTCGGAAGGCAGTGGAAGACAGGAGGGCCTGGCGTGCTCTGGCCCATGGGGTCATGAAGAGTCCGACACAACTAAATGACTAAACGAGAACAACAGTGATGTCTGTGGCAAGAGGTTATGCATGTAAAGTGTCTTATATACTTAAAAAATAGTGGGGGGAAAGAATACAGCTATTGGTGGTCTCACCCAATGTTCATATATTATATTGGGGCTCACAGTAAAGTTCTAGTCACGTTACAATGCTTGAGAGATGTTCTGTATTCTTAATGGGTTCCAGCAAGCTGTAGCGTCTTGGTGTATGCATGCTTTGGGTAGCAATGCTGGCAAGACTGGAGGATGCTTTTTGTGAGACAAAGTGTCATTTATTTACCTTCAGTTGCTTCTTGCCTTTCCTGGCCCCCAGTTTTCAAGTGGTGACTGATCCTCACCAGCATTCAAGAAATTTGAATATATATATACTGTATAGGGGCAAAAATTATGTGAGTCTAAAAACTTGAAGCATTGTGGACGATACTTTGATTGAGGATGTTTCTCGGATTAAAGCTTGAGAGTTAGTTACGTTTTCCATAATGCATTGCTCCTCTTGTAGCATTCTGTATTACAGCGATCTTTCCTTTTTTGCAGTTGCTGGGGGCTGCCTTCCTGGCCATTGGTCTATGGGCCTGGGCCGAAAAGGTAAGTGCAATAAAAGCTTTGGGCACAGTGGTGGATGATTTTCTGACTGGAACACCTTGTGCCCTCTCTGGCATCCTGTGCTGCCAGAAAAAACTGCTGAAAAAACTCATGCCAACTTTAGGTTGCCCTTAGCATACCTGTGAATGAAGTCAGATGCCCTAAGATGATTTCTGTTGCATCTTTGGCTGTGCACTTAAGAGGAGTGGGAGAAGTGAGTAAAACTCCTTGATATCTGAGGCCTCTGACAAGGCATGTTATCACCTGCATGCCTTGTTTGTGAACTTTCGATTAGAAGATGGGATGAATTGGCCTCTAGAAAGCAGAGTGCTGGATGAGCTGGGCCTTCAGACTGTTTGATCCAGCCAGCCATTCTCCTCTTTTCCTGTTGGCTCCGTCCCAAGCCCACTGGTTTACCTGAGGTCAACACTCCTGAAACACAGAAGGCTTTAAGTCCAGTTTACTAAGAAAAAGTTGGGGACATGCTTGGAGCTTGTAGAAAGCAAAACACAAACATCTAGACTGAAGCACACTTGTGCTTAAACAAAAGTTGTGGCTCTGTCTGGACCAGGTCCTTTCCCTTTCATACTGGATGGATTTGGTGAGGTTCCAACTCCTTTGTATCTCTCCATGGAGAGTGGGACACAACATGAGAAGGTCTGTCTGGTCCAGCATTCTGTTTCTGGCAGAGCTAGTTGGTGTCTGTGAGCTTAAAAGCGGGACCTGATAAAGGGGGTGGCCTTCTGCTGCTGCTGTTGTCGTTGGCACCCATTGTTATGAAAGATCCAGCCCTCGTTTGGTGGTCATTGTGAATTGCTGTGGTGGGATTTTTTCTTCCATGAATTTGAGAGATCATTTCCATGTTGCCCACCCTTGTTGGAAGCCTCGCTGATCTGATCAATTCTAAATAACCTTGGCATGGGCTCTATCCTCAAAGGTAGCTTTCATGTAAGCAATAGGAGTGGCTGCATGCTTCCAGTTGAGCCATAGTTTGAAGAGAAAGGTGGAATATAAATCTAGCAAATAAGTAAATGAATAACTGTCACTCATTTAATAACTCTGTATGATTCACTTTGTGTCCATGACGAAGCACTTTCCAGGAATCGATATTTCCATTTTCTCCTCCACTCATATTTCCTTCTCCACTTTTGGGCTGGGTTAGGGTGAGTGCAGAAGTCTTGTCTTGGCTGCTGTTATCTTTCTTCCCAAATATCCCCACCCCACTGTCAGAGCGGTTTAGGGCTCCCAGGGCCAAACTATGCGGTGATGCTACTCATCCTTTCTGAAAAGTGCACTTCTGTTCTGAAGAAAGACAAAAGCATTGAGTTGGTGGACCTGCATCCCATTTCCTGCTGAAAATCCACCCAAGTTGCTCTTTGTCCCTCAAACTTCCATTTTCTGTGGAAAATATGATCAGGGAAAATAGCTGATGGGGGGAGGGAGGTCCAGCAGGAAACATGTGCTGAGATTCGTATCCTGTTCTGCATCAGATACTGCCCAAACCAGAGGGATGAAACCTTATTTTTGGTTAACATTTTATTGATTTTACTTAATTTTATAAACAAACCAACCTAATTTTTCTTTCCCCCCCCTTGCTGCTTTACCTCCCTCTTCTACGCCTACACACAGACACACACACATATCTTTACACATTTTTATAATATAACATGTAGAAATAAAAAAACTGTAAAACAAATAAAAGAAGAAAATTGTAAGAGTATATATTTTAAAAATCATACCACTAGTCATATGTTATAATTAGAATTCACACATATGACACTTACCTAGCTTTTAGGAAGAATTTAATAATATAACGTAACCTTCTTCAACCTGTCATCCTCGCCATGTGTTAGACTACAATTTCCATCACCCTGCCCAGCATGGCACATCAGCCATGCTCAATAGAATGATGTGAGGTGTAATCCGATGGATAAGGAGAGTTCTGGCTCAGGGAAGGTGAATGTAACATGTACTGTACTTTGGCTTTCAGACTTTCTGTAATTTTTATCCCTAGCACTTCACCACCAGGTGGTTGCCCGGAACAATGGTACTGGAAACATTGCTCCCAGTTTGTTGGGTGGTGAGTAGTCAGGGCCTGGTTCTGGCCGCAGAGACTGTAGGGTAGGCAGTGGGACCAATCCAGCCCTTCTCTCTCTTTCTTCTTAATGTTGACCCTCCTTGGTCTCCCCCCAGGGCGTGCTTTACAATCTGTCCTCCATCACAGACCTGGGTGGCTTTGATCCCGTATGGCTCTTCCTTGTGGTTGGAGTGGTGATGTTCGTGCTGGGATTTGCTGGATGCATTGGAGCCTTGAGGGAGAATACGTTCCTTCTCAAATTTGTAAGTCCTTGGTTTCTTCTTGTTTCTCCCTCCGCATGGCACAGCACCATATTTCACAATCTTGCACCCTCCACATGTGTTGTACCGTGACACCGACCATCTGCAGCCAGCAGGGTTGAGGAAGGGGGGGTGTCACATACTGTGAGCTGGACATTGCCGTTCAGATCTCATTTGGGCCATGAACCCATTCAGCAGCCCTAGCATGCTTCCAGTCTTTCACACTCATCTTCCACTCACCTCATTTTAAACACCTAGTTGATCATACTGATCTGGATTCTAGGATAGCTGAGCTAATGTGTGCAGAGTGGTTTGAGCACTCACGTAACATACCGTTGTCATACACAGAAATGTGCAAACATTGCAGTGTTTGGTGTCAGTGAACTAAAGTGGATGGGAACAGGATATTTCCAGTCAGGCATCAACACCATTGGCCTAGGAGACAGAAATGGAAGGCCATGTCTCAAGGCCTTAGACTACTCTCAACAAAGAAATGTTAACAGCTTGAGAATTGGAAGGTACTGAGGAGAGAAGGCAGGAAGTGGTGAATCTTCAGCTCTTTAGGAGGGGCAATCGGACAGTGAGAAGCAGCCAGTGAAGGGACCAGTGACAGCCTACGCTTATTTCCAGAATGCCCCTGTTGGGCACCCATGAGTTGATGTTGTGGAAGAGTCTTCCGACAGTTTCTGCTTAGGAAAGGATGGAACAGAGAAATTAGCGTGAATGATACAGAAGGGATTCAAACTGTAATATGCGTGTATTCTGTTCTTGATGTTGCTGCTGGATTCCCCCCCCCCCCGAACCTTCTTGGAAAAGTTGTGGGTGGGGGGCAGGCACAGAGTCATTAGCTTAATTTTCTTCTTTAGTGGTGGAAGGAATGTCTCTGCGTGGTTCCAAAGGATGTGGGATTAATCTAGCATTTTTTTGATAGTGTTGTAATTTAGAGACTTCCTGCCAATGCACTCCTCCCCCCCACACACACACACTATTAATAGGTTGGCTTTCAATAGCATTCTCAGAGTAGCTTCCTTCTGGTCAGAGCGAGGGTAATCCTTCTTCTCTGGCAGTTAGTACATGCATTCATGGATGGCTCCTGCAGGGTCTGTTGTCTTTGTGCTCTGACCACGTGTCCCTGTTTTCCCTCCAGTTCTCAGTATTCCTGGGGCTCATCTTTTTCCTGGAGGTGACAGCTGGTGTCCTGGCTTTCATCTTCAAGGACTGGATCAAAGACCAGCTCAACTTCTTCATCAACAATAACGTCAAGGCCTACCGTGATGACATTGACCTCCAGAACCTCATCGACTTTGCTCAGGAATATGTGAGTTGTCCACGTGACTCTCAGTGACATTGTTAATAGTCTCTGGTTCATTTCTGTATGTGGTGTTGTTGGATGCAAAGGCTTTGTCTGTCATATGACAGCTTAAGAGTCAAGTTTGACCATCTGCTTGAGTGTTGCATGGCCTTGCTCAGAGCCTTCCTGCAAAGCTGTATCTAGAGATTCTTATTGGATGAAATTTCCTAGAAATCTGAGACCTGAAACAACACCGTAACAACTTTGAGGCCCTCTGTCTAATCAGGGAACGTTCCTCCTCCACAGTTGCAATGCGTATGCTTGCCCACTGCAGGGATGTGAATCCTACCCATTGCTGATAATTAGAGTGTTCAAAGAGAGCTACTGCTGCAGTCACTGGTGCAAAGGGCTAGCTCAGAGAATCCAGAAGACACGCACTGTTACTTGCATTAGCTTCACTCGTGAGATGGGGAACATTCCCTTTCATGAACTACAAGTCCTAGAACACCCAAGCTGGCATGATCAATGGCTGTATTGACTGAGAGATCCAGTTCTTGTTGCCTCCTAAAATAACTTTTCCCATTTCTGTTTGCTTGTCAGGTACTTCAGTAGTCCTAACTCTTTTGCTTCCAGACTGTGCTCATTTTTTACTATGCAAACATTGCTCTTCTCTAGATTACGTCTGGCATTGTGGTTGATTCTCTTTTCTCTACCTTTCTGTTTGATGGTCCCGTTATGTCCCATTATGCCCCATCTGCAGCATGGATGTGAACATGGCATAGGCATATAGGTGGACAATTCACTTATGTGTGTTTTGGTCCTATCTGTTTTTGAAGTTGTTTCCTTTTTTTAAACTGTAATTTGAATTCATAAGAATGCTTTTTTATTTAGGTGTTGTCGTGTGATGACTTCCATAGTGTTGTGTGTATGTGTGTGTTCTTTAAGAAAGGCAAGAGGTGTTTTAGTGTTAATTAAAACATCAGCAAAGAATAAAAATAAATAAGATGGTGCTAAGATTGTGTCAACTGGAAAGGCAGTGTGTTGTTGTCTTTTCATTAATCCTTATTAAAAATTATGGTGAAATAAAAAGTTTAAGGGCTCCTGTGTGAATATTTCAGCCATTTACAAAAGTAAAAAAAAAATGTGTTTTTGTGCAAACTATGAGATGAATTTTAAAAATATACATTCTAACAAAATGGTACCCATGTGAAACATGTGGACGCTGATGCGCAGCGATAGGCTCACCCATCCAGTATCATCCAGTATGTCCCAGTGCATGCCAAAGTTACCAATGCTTGTTCCAAGTTCCAAGTTCAAGTTTATTGTATTAGCTAAAAGCCATCACAATTGTTTAAAATACAAATCTGATCAAATAAAATCAAGGTAAAATCACGGACATATAAAATAATAAAAGACACTTCATATCTGGGAGTCCCCTGCACGAAATGCTTGTTCCACACTGGAGGCTGTTCCTCATGCTACTTTTCCATTTTCTCCTCAACGGATTCTCTGCAATGAAGGAAAAAAGGCAGGATGCATGGTTGAAAAACAAGGGAGGATTACATGTAGAGAACGGTAGCCGGAGTAAAAGGAGACAGGGCCATGGTGTGATTGGAAAGCAAAAAACACAAACCTTCATCTAGAACCGCCTCCGCTAGACGGAGAACTCCGGCTGCTCGCAGTTCAAAGATGTTACTCCGCTGTTCTCTACTTTTTTCCTTAATGGGTTTTTGTTCATAAGAAAAAAGATGGAAGAAATAAAGAGAGGGGACTGGAAACAGAAGACAGTGACATTGTCTGGTTCCATCGTAAATTTCAGTGAATGGTGCATTTTGAAGCCACAGTAAATTACAGTCCGGAACCAGCCACAGTGTTTGTTTGAAATAACCATGCTTGGTACATTCACTTGTTACGCGGCACCTCCATGAAATTGTTGTTTTCCTGTGTTTTTCCTCACATTGTTTCAGAGCAGAAGGAAAACAGAAACGTCTACTGTCACTATTGCCTTTCTTCTTTCTTAGTACCATTTTATCAATGTGAGTCATTTTACTGGGGGGGGGGAGGAAGTTCTACCAGGGTTTTTAATTTGCATTAAAATACCTTTCTTGTTAAATATTCTTTAAAAACCTCTGGAAAATGTCTAGTGTAAATTTTAAATATTGATAGAAAAAAACTGTGCTACCAAAATGCTGCATTTCTATTCAGCACCATTTTATCACTGGGTTAATTTCCATCCGCCAGTCTTTTAATAAGTGCTAAAACACTTCTTAGCCTGCCTTAAAAATAATAGTTATGAAAATAATACTGGAACAGTGTGTCAATAAAAAAAGCACTTTCATGCAAATTAAGGGATAACTTTTAAAACAAGTGATCATACATTGATTATAAAAAAGATATGTTGAGAATTTGCTTTGTTAGAGCCACTAGTGTGGATGGGACACAGTGGGGTCTATGCTCTCTGCACATTTGCATGCAGATTAATGGCAGAAGAGTGATGAGACACTACTTTGGAATAATCCCGTATTTCTTTTTAAAAGTTGTGTGAGGGTAGTGATGGAAAAGTAGTGTTCAAGAGATCAGCAGTTGCCAAGATTGTGCCACTTTTTCTGTGGTTGCCTCCAAAGTTGGGATTTTCTGTGGTCCAGAAAGAGGCAGAAATCAGAGGGAAAACGCAGGAGAATAGCTGTTGGAGGCCACTATGACATAGAGTGTTTTTGTACTACACAGTAATGGCAGTTTGATCCCAGTTTAATTGCCGTGACTCTGTTCTGTGGAATGCTGGGATTTGTAGTCTTGGGAGAAGGGTGGTTCCTTAGAACTGTGTACAGTATTGTAGTTTGGAGCTCTCTGGCAGAGACATCTGAGAACCTCATCAAAGCCTAAAGTTCCATAGGGTAGAAGCCCAGGCAGATAAAGTGGAAAGAAGCAGCTGTAACTGTGTAGTGTAGCTATTATACCCATGGAGGCATACCTCCATAACAATATATGGCTCTTCCAATATGGAAGCATCTCCTGCTTCCAATAGGCCCAGCAATTAGGTGGGTAAAGCTGAACATGTTGCAGGAAGTTTCTCCCTGACAAGGCTTGTAAGAATGCACTTAGGCAATTTGTCCCATGTAATATCTCTGCTCTCAAGAGGTCCTAGTTGCTCAGGAACCATTTTGGCCATTACTGTGCTATGCGTTGATGGTGCCAATATGTGATGCTTATTATTATTATTATTATTTGCTTATTTGTCCCCCTCTAACACTGCAACTGTAGTGGTCCTGCTGCGGGGCTCATGGACCTAACGACTGGAACCTCAACATTTATTTCAACTGCGCTGACTCCAACCCTAGCAGGGAGCGCTGTGGAGTGCCCTTTTCCTGCTGTGTCAAGGATCCTGCGGTAAGGAGCTAAGACAAGAAGGGTGGAGTGGAGTCGTAAATATAACCTAACCAAACAGCCTGTTTGGCAGCTGTCTTCTTACTCATCCCCTGTAAATCCAAGGAATGTGCGGTGATCATGCTTCAGTTCAGGCTGAATGCAAAACATGTGAGTGGTGTTCTGGATCTGGATAGGCATGTTGGCACCCTCTGTAGGTTCACATAGTCCTTTATCTCTGGCCATGCTGGCTGGGATGTCAGAGAATTGTGATCTAAAACCTCTGGAGGGCACAGGTGTTCCATTTGTGCACTTTATTGTGTAATACTAGAAATCACAGAGAGAATGGTCTCATTGGCCCCAAATATATGGGATTTCATGAACTGCATTGGCACAGGTCTCTCTTTCATGAGCCGCCGCTGGTTAAGATGGGGTAGAGGGGGAAGAGCGCCTCTTCTGAGTGGACAGAATGTCAGCCTAGGAAACAGAAGGCCTGATTCTTCTCTGTGGCCTCTGTGAATCACACCCTGGGTGATCTGCGCCTGCACGGAGCCTCATCGGAAAGTTCTAGAGCGACTGCGGTAGCAAAACCACATTAGAACAAGACCCCACTCCCCTCGTATAAGTACCTTGGCACCAAGGCTCCCCTTTCAGTTTTCTTTCAACCACCGCGTTGAGAGCCTCATAGTTCTGCTTCTGTGAGTAAAAGAGAGAGTTTATTATTGATTCCTTCCTGTTATAAATCTTTTTTCCTTTAAACTTTTAGATCAAATTCATTATCATCATATATATTTTTTCCTTTCTACTTCGCTTGGCCTCTTGCCGCAGCACCACCACCCCCATAATGATCGTTTTTTTCCTCCTCAGATTATTTTCTCCTATTCATGGCCCCTTTGGGCCCATTTGAACACTGCGTGGTCTGTGATAACAAAATACCACTCTCCGATGGGCACGCCAAGTGTCTGTTTTGCTTGGGAGAGGCACATCAGACGTCCTCCTACTAGCATTATAAGAACTTCAAGCACAGAGTCCTCTATTCTTGCTTATCCAGATTAAACTCCATCTTCAGGAACAATCCGTTCAACCAACCAAAATGGCCCAACCTCCTTGTAAGGCCACCTCAGAAACCAAAGCAATGGACAAGGCTCTTTCTGAAGCCTCAAAACAGCATCCATCGACCACACCATCCCACTCTGATGCTCTGTCCACTTTGTCTAAAACTTCAAAAATCCATAAATCAAAGCGCTTGATACCTCAATCCTTGATATCGAAGCCCTCCATTAAACGTCAAATGCCCACCAAAGCCTCTTCGCTTCCGGAGCCTTCTCCACTTAAAAGACCTAAACAGCATAAATCTAAAGCTGCAGTCATTTCTCAGCAGCCTCAACAAACCGCCAAATCAATCTCTATTGGTTCGCCTTCTGGCGATGACGGAATCCCCTCTCATCAACCTTGCTCCCAATCATCGGAATGGGATGACAGAGTTGATCGATTAACATCTTCTCCTCCCAGTCCTCAATGCTCTGTTCTTTCGAGCACCCCTTCCGTAGTTCCTTCACCTGACAGGGTCGACTCTGAACAACAACTAGAGACCATTCCTTATTCGGTAACATTTGAAATCGTCCACCACAACCTCCTCAGAGACATTGGCCCCAGCAGTCCCTGGAGCCATCTATTTCATCACGCATGGCTCAGACCCATGTTCAGCACTCTCACCGATTGCCCTTTCCCCCCACCAGTGCTTGACTGGACAAACCACAACCACCAATCAGCCATTTGCTCTATCCAGCTCGGCTGTACCTTCTCATGGTGGGCCTCGATCCCGACAGCCATTGGTGTCAAAACGGCCGTATCACCGTTACCCACATCAGCTCCAACCTGCTCCCTACCTGCCACCTAAAAGGCCCAGGACGGTCAAGCAATTTTCTTCTACACGCGAGGCTTTTACAGCTTCAGCCTCCTGATATTTTCTTGCTAATCCAGAAAAGGGAAATCATTCTTCTTGCTCGGCATCTCCAGCGTCTATATACTCCACGGCTTTACCAGCTCATCAACAACCTCCGTTTCGACATCACCAAGACACAGGCTCTGATATCGATGGTCCTCGATATCCATCCTGGTCCATGGACACTTCTTCTGTCCCTCTATCAACACACGATTTCCGTCGCCCAATTGAACCAAGCCATCAAACTCAACATCACTATGACCCCGAGTTTGACACAATGTTCAACCATATCAAACAATGTCCATGGACACTCAGATGACATCTCTCAATATCGAAAATCCTTGACACCAACAAATCCCCATGGACATGCCGCCTCCATCAACATTGAGCCACAAATGTCAATACAATGAGACTCAACCTTTCGACACTGAAGTCAATAGACAATCCATCGACTCCCGATGCGATCCCAATTATTTCAATCACGGATCCAGACCTCAGACACCGCAATATTACTTAACTCACCGGAATCCGGTCTTGTCGATGCCAACCCACCATCACAGGCGGAAGACTTCCAAGCTTAACGTCCAGTTTATGATCCGTATGGCCAAGTCTCTCAATCTCCAAGTCCACTGTCCTTTGACAGAACTGGCTGATCATCTATACGACCCAGTCTCTAAAGATACAACTACTCCAGTACACATCTCAATGCTTATGTCTCTACTAAGCATTGCTCAACGATCCTGGACAAAACCAGCCTCTTTCCATACCATGTCTAAATGAATTGATAACTTCTACAGAGTCCATGATCCTGGAGCTCTATTTCTTCAAAAACTACCAGCTCCAAACTCTATTTTTGTCAAAGCCTCACAATCCAGATCTCGACATCGCCAAACCTTCATACTACCAAATAAAGACAATAGAAGTATTGACTCAATGGGAAGATGGCTTTATTCATTAGCAGTGTTCACCATGTGTGTCGCTAACTACCACAGAGCCATGGGTGCATGTCAACGTTTCCTTTGGGACAATATGTCAACCTTTTTCGAATCTTTACCAGAGGACAAAAAAGTACTCGCCCAAACCTTTCAACAATAAGATATTTTCGTTGCCAAACAACAGATGCTTTCTGCTAGGCACACAGTAGACCACTTCTTTAGCCTTTCAACATTTCTCTTCGCTAAGGACAGCTGGCATGGCTGAGGATGCCTGTGCACGTATCGAAGACCTTTCATTCAACGGGCAGGCCTCTTTAATGTTGAAACCGATGATATTTTGGAAAATGTGCAAAAGAAAAGATCAGCAGGTAGACACTGAGTTTATCCATCTTACCAACAACGCCCCCAACAAAATCAATGGAGATGACTGTACAACTCATATCAAAAATTCCACCATGACCCTCCAAAACAAAGATCTTATACATCCTCTTTCAGAAATCAAAAAAATAAACCCTGCCAACAACCCATTACTAGGTACAATGACCGCAAGCCCAAACATCATGTTTGACACTCACTCCCATGACCAAGATCGCACACCACTCCACCCATCCTGTCCTCTGGAAACACCTACCTGTCTGGGAATCCATCACTACAGATGACTGGGTGCTGTCCATCATCCGCGATGGCTACTGCATCCATTTCTTCCAACATCCTCCAGCAACACACATCATCACTCCACCATCTTCAACCCTACAGGAGGAAATAAGAAACTTACTCCTCAAAGATGCCATACAACCCGTGTCACAACACAACAAAGGGTTGCATTTCACCGTATCCAACAAATACATCATTACCACAAAATTCTGTATGGTTACCCTCAAATCAGGTCTGCCTTTACTCCTGACTGGTTCACTGCCATAGATTTCAAAGACGCATAATCCATATTTCCATACATCCTTCTCACAGAAAATTCCTTCAATTTCAGATAGGATCACAAGCCTACCAATTCAAAAGGCTTCCTTTCGACCTTGCAACAGCTCCAAGAGTATTCACCAAGTGCATGACACCAGTAGCTGCTTACCTCAGGTTGCAAAAAATTCTCATATTTCCATATATCAACTATTGGCTCCTCATAGCTCATTCCTGTTGCAAGGCCCAATGAGATACTCACTTCACCCTTACTCTCCTTCACGATTTACTCAGCTGCACAAACTCTCAAGCTCATGAATGGGAGTTAGACCAATCAGTTTTTCTTTGCCTATGCAGGCGATGGGGCAAACCAACTCTCAACCTCTTCGCCTCCCATGTGAATCAGAAGTGTAAATGATCCTGCTCCCGAGCTGGCATTGGCAAACACCCCCAAGGAGATGCATTCGTTGACTGATGGCCCAAGACCCTCACTTACTTTTTTCCGCCATTCCTGCTTCTCCACAAGGCCATGGTTCACCTACAACGTGGCTGAGACAACCCTGGTTTCCAGTCCTTCACAATCTCTCATCAGACATTCACCACCTCCCTTGCCTGCCCCACCTTCTCACATAGAACAAAGGCCAAGTACTCCACCCAGACTAACCTGTTCTGCACCTGGCAGCATGGAGGAGTCCGCCTCACTAATGAACGTCCTCCATCAATCAGAGAAGCCCTCCACTAGAAAGGCTTGCCTGTATAAATGGAACAGATTCAAATCTTTCACTGAAGCTTCTTCATTGCCTTCTCTCAACCCATCACTTGCTACTGTTCTACGTTTTTTGCTTCATCTCAAGTCTAGTGGCCTTTCCCTTTCTTCCTTGAGAGTTTACCTCTTCGCTATAGTTTTTTATCAGCCCCCTAACTGTCTGGCAGCTGATTTCTTCAAGCATCCAGCACTGAAACGTTTTCTTAAAAGTCTATCTCATATCTACCCAGATACCCACCCGCCTTCCCCGCAATGGACACTAACACTAGTACTGCAACAACTTACTAAAGCTCCTTTTGAACCTTTAGCTTCAACTGATTTATGGCTACTTACCTTTAAAACAGTTTTCCTCTTCACCATCACCTCAGCTCGATGAGCTAGTGATTTAGCTGCCTTACAACTATCCTTATTTACAGTTTTTTCTTGAAAAAGTCAAACTATCCATGGATATTTCTTTCCTCCCCCAAGTTGTATCTCAGTTCCATCTCTCTCAGCCATTTATCCTTCCCTTCTTCCCATGACCATCCACAACTCAAGAAGGAATCCTCCATACTTTAGATGTTAGGCGAGCCCTTGCTTTTTACGTCCAATGCACCCAACCTTTCAGGCATTCATCTCGACTTTTCATAAGTCACCAACCACCTACTAAAGGTCACCAGGTGACGTCTCAAACTATATCTAGATGGGTCGCTTCAACCATTTACCTCGTGTATCAGCTGGCACGCCAATCAGTCCCAACAGTGATTCGCCCTCACTCCACCAGAGCAATGGCGACCTCTAAGGCATTCCTACACAGTGTACCTCTTCCAGATGTCTGTGCCTCTGCCACCTGGGCACAGCCATCCACTTTCATCTGGCATTATAGACTTGATCTCCGGCAAAAGTCTGATGTGGCCTTTGGACGTGCTGTTCTATCCTCTACCTTGGCGTGACACCCAGCCTCCGGGTAAGACAGCGTCTTAGTCACCCAGGGTGTGATTCACAGAGGCCACGAAGAAGAACAACAGGTTACCCACCTGTAATTGTAGTTCTTCGAGTGGACCTCTGTGATTCACACATCCCGCCCGTCCTCCCCATTGTCACACCATTCTGCTTAATGGAGCGGTGGTTGACACAACTGAAAGGGGAGCCTTGGGGTCACGATACTCATACGAGGGGAGGGGCTTATTCTAATGTGTTTTTTTGCTACTGCAGAAGCTCTAGAACCTTCCGACGAGGCTCTGTGCAGGGTGTGATTCACAGAGGTCCAGGAACTACAATTACAGGTGGGTAACCTGTTGGTCCAAAGCCCCGTGCAGTTGTAGAAGCGGGGGGGGGGGGGAGCACTGGTAAAACCTTCACTTAAATGTCTCAGATGCCTTAGAAACCCTACTAGGGTCTCCGTATGTCAGAAACAAGTTGATGGGACATAAAGCATAGAGGGTGGTATTTGGAAGGCTCTGGGGTGCAAAGTAAGCCATGGAACAATTTAGGAATGAGGCAGATAGCCCCTTCCCAGGAAAGGGAGCATCTGGTCAAAAATGGGACTAGCTGTGTCTTTTGCTTTTCCCCAGGAGGATGTCCTCAACACCCAGTGTGGCTATGACGTCCGCCTTAAACTGGTGAGAGTCAGGTTGGTGTGTGTGTCTGACTGTAGCGAGAGGAGCGAGGTGAGTGTGCCTTTCTCTGGAGTTTGCTCCTGGGACAAGCTGGGCTCAGAGGAAGGTGATCTGGCTTAGGATCAGGGATTCAACAGACACGGTTGAGCTGGTGTGTGTTCTGAACCAGGAGCTGTGGCAGTGAGGCCAGGTGTGTATACCCTGCTGCGATTGGGAACTGTGGAGCAGGAGGTATTTGATCGCCTGGGTTCAGCCACCTAGGCTGGCCACAGTGCTCTCCCCATGAACGAGAGAATCTGTTCCCTCCTGCCTTGTGTTTTTGTTCTGATCTGTTCACCGTTGCCTTTTTGCAGGAGCTGGAGCAACAGAGCTTCATTCATACCAAAGGATGTGCTAGTCAGTTTGAGAAATGGGTCCAGGACAATCTCATTGTGGTGGCCGGGACCTTCGTCGCCGTCGCTCTGCTCCAGGTATCAGCCCCAGGGAACCTCATACAAGTGTTTAATGTTACAGCAGCTGGAAATCTTCATGCAGTGCAATAGCAGGTTGCAGGGGGTGGAAATACAACAACCACAGAAACATTCCCTGGGATGCAATCAAGTCTTTACAATATCTAGTTTGGGGCTAATCCTGGGAAAGAAAAACCTTTTACAGAACTGCAGATAGCAGAATGGCACCCAGTCTCCATACAGGCATAATTCCAGAATTTGGAAAAGTTGCTATTTTGAGGCTATGACTTGTTTTATCCTGCTGCAAGCATGGGGCAATTGTAGTCCCAAAAAGCTACTTTTCCAAGGTATGCATTCTTCCCAATGTGCTCCGCAAAGTGATCTGCCTGGAACTTTCTTCTGCTCCTGAAAGGGGATACTTTCCCCTTCTGCTGGCATAAAGATACCAAGGGAGCAGTTTTCGATGGCTGTATTCAGGCTCTAGGTCAGTTTCATAGGCTGCTGTTTTGGAAATGACTACTTTTATATAAGAGGGAGGTGGACAGGGCTTCGGAGTGGTTTTCCTTTATGTTATGCAGATCTGGGAGATGCAGAAGACGGTGAGAGCCTCCATCTTTTCCCTAGTTATTGTAAGGGAGGGGAGATGCTCAGTTACAAGGCTGGGCAGCTTTGCTGGGTCTGAAGGCTGATTTATTCCCCCCCCCCCCATTGTCTGTTGCAACTCACACCAAGAATTCAGTGGCAAATTCCATCACACATTTTGACAAAATGCTGGTCAGCACTTAAAGCGAATCAAATGCTTGTTTTAAATGTGTGGGGAGTTTTGTAATTGCAGCTGAAATTAGGAAATGTTGGGGGGGCAGTGCAGAGGGTGCTGTATGATTCCCACCACTGGGTTGCAGGATTGTGACTCCACTCATCGCGGATGGATGTGATTGCTTTCTTCTTCATTATACTTGCATAGATCTCTTGTGGTATGACCTGAAGGTCACTCCGTTTCCCATCCTATCTAGCCTACAGATCCTTTGAGCCTGAACAGCTTATGCTTTCTTTGAGTCATATGTCAAGGGGATAACTTTGTGGTGGTCTTCAAAATCTATATTTGACACACTCTTTTGCCTGTCAAGAGGGTTTCTTTGAGGAGTATATATCTATAAAGGATCTGGAGATGCTTACATCTGCCTACAAATATGTGTTCCAGTTAGGTTTAATAGAACCTGTTTTTTCAACCCACCCCATAAAGAGAGGAAGACATCTCAAGGTGCCTAAGGGGCTCCGATGATTGCTAGAAGCAGCAGTGTGGGTTGGTGATCTGAGACTTGTGTTCTCTTTGTTTTGGATCCCTGGTGGATGCTTTCTAGGTGGCTGCCTTTTTATGGTCATATTAACCCCACTTGCCCAGACACAGGATAAGGCAGCCCCTTTGGGGTTTGGGTGCTGTGAGAGGCATTAGTGAGGCCTCTTGGAAGCTCGCTTGGCCGTGTCTCACTGGAAAGAAGGCAGTTTCAGCATAACCCGTTCATTTCAGTGGGGTTTGCCCAGGATAATCTCCCCATGGATCTTGCCCTATAATAATTAGAGGAAAGGGAGAGATGCTACTTGGAATTTCTGCTTTGAGGTACCAAATGTTTTGGGATGGCTTAGTATCCTCCTTCTAAAAAAATGGATCCGGGAAGGAAAGGGTGGTGGTGGTGTATGTGTGTGTTTGTGTGTGTGTGTGTGTGTGTGTGTGTGTGTGTGTGTGTGTGTGTGTGTGTGTGTGAGAGAGAGAGAGAGAGAGAGAGAGAGAGAGAGAGAGAGAGATTGAGCCTGCTTTTAAAGCTTAGTTAAATTTATCATTTTACTGGAAGGGCAAAGAGGGCCAAATCCACCCCACCACCCCCATTGTCAAGTGGCAGTAAGAATAACGGCAGCAATAGCAGTCACAGTAATAACAGTGAGTTGAGGGCTGTGTATGAAGTATCCCCATGAATGGTCCCAACACTGACTTCTTTTGTATACATCATCTTCCACTTTTTGTTTCAGATCTTTGGCATCTGCCTGGCACAGAATCTAGTGAGTGACATTAACGCTGTGAAAGCCAACTGGTGACACTGGAACGGGGGCCTGTGCTGCCTTGTCTCCCTCAGACTCACAGTGCCCTCTGCAGGACTGAAGCCGCAATTCCAGCCACAACCACAGAGGGCTGCTGTGCCATTGACCAGCTCTCGCTCTCTCTGTGTGTAATGTACGTGTGTGTTCGTGCCTGCCTGCATGCCTGTTTGTAGCCACTGCTACTGTTAGCAATGACTGCCTGGAAGCCTGCCATTGCTGTCTCTTTCTGGTTGGGGCACACATGCCATACGAGTTGTGAGTGGCAATGTAGATAGGTAGTATTTATATAGGGCTTCTGGTTCAGGACTCCTTCCATTCCACTGCAAAATCTGTGGACCCAAGAGCCCCTGCTGTATTTGCAGGCCCCTAATGCTGGAGGCAGCTCTGGAACTGCAGAGGTTGCAGTAGGACGAGGCATGGCCCATGTGGCTTCCCGTTGAGAAACTGGCTGAAGCTTTAGTGTTGCTTCTCTTGCCTGGAGGAGCCTCTACTGTACTTGAATTGCCTGGGTTTGGTCCCCAACTGCTCAGGTCTCCTCTCTGCCAGGGGTTTGGATTAGCAGGGACATGCGTTGTGCTTGATCTGTTCGACCTGGAAAGAAATTCTGATAGCCTCTGTGATCACACTGTGTTGGTTCCTCTCCTCTCTCCCTCGTGTTGAACATCGACCAACTTGGAAGGTGTACAATTGGAGTAAGATGCTGCTCATTCTCCATCACAACCCTCCAACTGGCTTCCTTTGTTTTTCAAAAAGACTCTTAAGGACCATTTCTACAGCTGTGCATGTGCAATACGGGAAGGCCATGTGCCCAGATGAAGGTCCATCTCCCCCTTGTCCACCCACCCAGACACAGAGGGACATGGGAGTATTCTGTACAGCAGTGGTCCTTAACCTTTTTGAAAGAAATGCCCCCTTGAGCCATTGAGGAAGTTATCATCGCCCCCCTCCCTGCGGTGATGATATCTTACCTGCCTGCCTGCCTGCCGGCCTGCCTGCCTGCCTGCCTGCCTGCCTACCTACCTACCTACCTACCTACCTACCTACCTAGTCTCCCTCCCCACCTGGGTGCGAGGCAGCATTTCACGGGGCGAGGATGAGGACCCAAGAGACCCTTTCCTTCTAACCGATCCACACTCAGTGCTCACCTAAAGGAGAAAGGTGAGACGTGGCAGGTAGAAAGAGCTGGATCATCTGGCGGCAGCAGCAGCACCGGATCTACTGCCAGCACTGTGGCTGCAGTCGCCTTCACAGGTTTGGCTCACTCCAGCGCCCCCCTCCCCCCCCCCCCCCTTTGTTTTTTCCCCCCGTTTGGCTTGCTCCAGCGCCCCCCTACAGCCCCCCTTCTGCTCCAGCTCCCCCACGCCGCCCCTTTTCGTTCTACCGCCCCCCTGGAAAATGAAATCGCCCCCTGGGGGGCATTATTGCCCACGTTAAGAACCACTGCTGTACAGTATTCAGCTGGAAAAAACAAAGAAACAAAAAGCTGACATTGTAACAGTCGTGCAGCCTGCTCTAAACATATAATATTACTTTCATTTGTGTATTAGAAGGAGAGAGAAATGTACATTGGTATTTTTTAAACTCCAGGCTTCAAGCTGGAATGTGATGGAACAGCCATTTGCTTGTGGGACAAAAATGCAACCCTTTGTATGCAATACTTTTAAATGTGTTTGTCTGAAAATAACTGGCCTGTATGGAATATTATTGACCCATTGGCCTGAGCTGAGCCAATTTTTGGTCCTGACTGGGTGTCGTCTTCTGTTCTTTCTGTGAACAGCCTTTATAACCTTGCAAAGCTCCCGTGCTTTATGAATTTTCAGGTCTCCTTAATGGCCAGGAAGACGTTGGCACGTTGCAGGGAAAGGCTTTATATTTAGATGAACATCATAATTGCCATGTTCTTGACTCTGCTCTGTTCCTGTGCTCTTTCTTGGATGGGGTTCTTTCCCTGTAATCCTCTTGGACTCTGCTGCTCACAGGACAGGATTGGGTTTTCTGGGATTCTTTTGAAATGCTGAACCAATAAACAGTCCCTACCAAACCATGGTTGTGTTCTTTTTACTCTAATGAATCTTTCTGAGCAGTTTCAGATGATGATGATTCTTCTTCTTTTACCCCATTGCCCTGCCTTATCCACAAAATTGTACAAGTTTTCAAATAATGTCCTCCATTCGTAACCAATGCTTGTTTTACCACTGGGCTTGTTGTGTGTTTTTTCCCCTTCTTCTTCGCCCCTCCTGTGTTCTTCCTTAACAGCAGAAAATGTGCTGGCAAAAGAAGAGAAAAAAATGTAGCACTTTAAAGACTGGCAATTTTATTTCAATGTTATAGTCCCTTTCAACTCCAATGCAGTATTCTATTATTCTTTTACTGGATTCTGCCCATGCCTAGTTGGGGGGGGGTAGGGGGGACTATATGTTACATGTACTGGTT